CTATTTTTAAATAAAGAAGCAAATCCTAATACATTAATTCCTACATATGGAGTAACTCCATTTCACTTAGTAATAGGTAATGATTCTGAAGCATTTGCAGAAGAAGTTACTAAATTATTTTTACGTCATAGAGGCAATCCAAATGTTCGGTAATAAATTAAAATTAATTTTATATGTTAAAAATATGTCAAATATTGTAATTATAAAATGTATGTATTTATATATTTTTACATGATACACCGAAATGAAATATTGTACTTGAATTTAATTTTTTAGATCTGCAGATGGACTAACACCAGTTCATGTGGCTGCAGCATGGGGTAGAGTCACAGTATTAGAATTACTTTTAGCAAATGGTGGAGACCCTCTTTGTTTGGATGATGAAGGACGTAGTCCATTTCATTATGCATTTGATGGAAAATATTATAAAGCAATTGTGATACTTGGAAAATATTGTGAAAATACTACAAAGGAAGAAAAAGTAATAAAGTATAAAATGACTTTTGGTATGTAAAAATATAAGTTTATTTATATATACTAATTATAATATGCTATATACAGTTATATATAATAAATAAATTAAAGAATTATATATCGATATTTTTCTTTTGTAGATAAACTCTTGATTAGTAGTGCAAATGTAATAGCAGAATATACTGCACCACAAATTTCAAATATTATTAGAGAAAACATATTGAATGATAATATAATTAACGAATATAAACGAGAAAGAATTACTAACATCAAACATATACATTCTTTTAATTCTAGTAATATCAATGTAAATAGTGACAATCAATTTGACATAAGTGCAGCAGAACTTCAAATTCGTGAACAATTGGATAAAGAAAAATTCTTAGTTAATGAAATTATTAATCAACTTTCAAATTCTTTAAAATATAATTCTAAAGAACAAGAAATTAATGAGAAATATAGACAATGTACAAAAAATCAGTATGATACATGTCCATCATCTACAATAAGTACAGATAACAGCATGGAATGTAGTGTGAATGATAAATTTTCCTTAAAAATAAAAACAAAGAAACGATCTATTACTCCTAAATATAGACGAAAAATTTTCGGACAAAATAACAATTTTAAAATTCCATTAATACCTTTGTGTAATCCAAATGACTCTATTATAAGTAAATCGCCAAATTTTTTAATGGATACGTCATTAGAGAAAGAGCAAAGATATATATCTCCAAAAGTGCCAAATAAAGAAATAAAATTTAAAACTTTTACACCTTGTATGACGAGAAACCAATCGTTTCGATCTGAAGAATTTAACTTAGGAAAAGAAATGGCGAGGTCTACTCCAAGAAGGAGGAAACGATTTTATAGACAATATTCTTCCCTTAGAAAACTTGGAAAAAATTACGAACTTACATCTCCAGAAAATACAAGCCGTGATTCAACAAATTCTTTATCACCAGATTTTAATTATGCAAGAAAATTGGATTACCAGTTTAATAAAAATTTGGCAGTAAAACTACATGAAAATAAATATGATGATGATACACCAATAAGTTTTACTGAAAACAATGACTATATTCAATCATGCACCTTTACGAAGGATATAGAAGGACTTAATAATAATCTTAAAAATTTAAAAATAGAAGAAACAAAGTTTAAAGAAAAAAATAAAGAAAATTTAAAAAAATATATTTCACTAGAAAAGTCTTTTGATGAAGAAGCAGAATTAAAAGTTAATAATACTATGAGTACTTTTAAAGAAAATTTGAATATTCTTCTATCAAGGTAAAGTTATAGTATTGATTTATTATTTCAAAAACAATGTACAGTTATAAAAATACATACATTTAACATTGTATATGTAGACATTATTGTCATATGTAACTCTTAATTTTAATAATGGATTATCCTTGTTATATTTACTTAAAGTTCAAATTTTATTTAAAATGTAATAACTAATTACTGTTAACAAAATTTTATATTTTGTATTCTTTTTTAACATGCCATTTTTTCTCTATAGTTTCAAATCACAATCATATATTAGTGTACAAGAGGCATATAAATATGAAGATGCAGATGAAGGTGTAGCTTTCTTAGAACGTAGAATTTATACACTACCACCATGGTAAGATATTGAAAAAAATATCTTTATCTTATCTTATCTTGACTTTAACTTATTATTTCTTTACTCACAGCACAATGATAGATTGTACTTCAACTGAAAAATTGTGTAAGTTTTGTTAAAATTATTTTTACATATTTATCAAAATTATATTGCTTTTTAAAATAAAACTTTTCAAAATACAATTTATTATTCTTTCTAGGGCCCCAATCATTAAATTTATCAATGAATATGTGTTTAACAGATGAAACACTACGAACAAAATTAATTAACTTAGGTGACAATCCAGGACCAATAACTAATACTACAAGGCAGTTGTATTTAAAACGTCTTACAAAATTAAAGAATGGAACATCTAATTCATTGTCATTTGAAATTAATAATTTTAAAGCTTCATCCAATGTAGATTATTGTGAAATTCAAATGAAACCTTTTATAATGTATGGAGATTGGGTAAATGATTTGGGAAGATACAAAATTATTGAAAAGAACATTTTTAAAGAATTTGCTTTAGTAAGTCCTTCCAGAAAATGGAGAGAAGGAATGAATAAAACTTGTTTTAATTACCTACTCTTAGATCCACGTATAACTAGAGATTTACCCTCTTGTGCAGAAAATTTGACAAAATCCACAGTTTGGACTACATTTCTTTCTGCTATATTTTATGTGGGTAAAGGTACACGCAATAGACCATATTCCCACCTAAAAGATGCTTTCGATGCATGGGTCTCAAATAAAAATTCTGAGAGTACAAAAATCCAACATATTTTAAATATTTGGAATGCAGGATATGGAGTTGTGTGTCTCCACATCTTCCAAAATAGTATTCCAGTGGAAGCTTACACACGTGAAGCTGCTATGATCAATGCTTTAGGAATACAAAAATTAAGCAATTGCAAAAGTGGTGATTATTATGGAATAGTAGCAACATGGAACATAGAAGAAAAATGTAATTTTGGGAGATATTTGTTATATCAAGCAATGCAGATTTTTTTATGTGAAGGAGAAAGACAAATATTTCCTCAAAATTTATAAAATCTAAACCTTGTTTCTTTTACTGAGTTTATATACATAATAGAATGACTAATACATATATGCTTGCATGTATATTATTATATATTAATTTATAACAGTGTCAATAATACTTAAGTAAGTGCAATAAAATAGAAATATATTCACCAAAAGAGTATAATTCTTTATAAATTTTATTTTATTTAATTTTAATATTTCTTTATTAGGTTAACATCTTTAAGTATATAATTAACATTTACAAATATGGTCTGTCAGGTTCTACTTTTCTGTATTTATAGAGTTTCTTTTTAGGATACCACCTATGTTTTGTAGTGAATGTCATTTTGGAAAGCTCTTCAATAACAACTTCTTCTCTTTTGTGCTTAAAAACCTCAGCAATTTCCTTTCCACCAATACACAAAACAGAATTTGATGAAATTTCTTTTTCTTCTGGTAATGGTAATGAATATTCATATGGAAATTTTCGTTCTGGATGCCAACAAATTATTATATCTTTATTCATTGGTATAACGATTTCTGAAGGCAGTTTAACAGAACTTATATATCGTTTGCAGGATATATTTAGAGTACGTGCGATGTTTAATGCAGCATTCATCTGTTCAATATTAAAAGAAACTGATTAGTACACCTTTATAATAACAAATTATTTACAAATAAGATTACATGTAACAATTAGATATGGAACTCCATTTTGAAAATATAACCCTAAAACAATACAACAATATTTTTATTAAATACTTATATGTCATACTTTGAATATATTTTAAATTATTGTACAAATTTTAAATAAATAATACACTCGAAGTAACGTATTGATAATCCATGCATTAAAAATTATAAGCAATTCAAATACATAGTAGTATCACATTCAATTGCCTAACAAAGCATAATATGTTGTACACACAAAACAGAGAAGTATAACAATTTTTGTGTTCATATACAACTTTTTGGAATAAAATTAATGATTGATTATTTAAATTGTCAACTACAGAAATTTCAATAATCCATTTTTTTATAATAATTACTTCAATCTTACAGTTTTATATCATATTTACTATTATTTTACATAATAAAGTTTGATAACAAAAGATGCAATCAATTTTATATTTAAAAAATATTTATTTTTAAATATATAATTTTTATTTTACTATTGTACAATTTAAAAAATATTTCTACTTCTATTTAATACAATTGCAGTTTAAATAATTTTAATATAATTTTGATTCTAGACTAACTAACTTTAAATTTATTCAAATCATAATTTTATGTAATAATCGTTATTTACCATTTTCTAGTTAGTAATTTAGAATTAAAAATATAATTTCTAACAAATTGTAACGTCTCAATGCCCCTTGGGTGTCTTCTCAAGAAGACCCTTAGGTAAATCTCTCCAATTTCCCAAACATCTCAGTAAGTTGGATCGTGGGCACCAGATGCCTCATCAAATCTTCAATTTTCTTCCAAGTACTCGCTCTAGTTGTCATTCATATATTCAGTACCTTTCGTAATTTCTAGTGTACAGTGTATATGCACGTGATTACAAGCAGAACGAGTTATCATATGGTTGTAATTTTATTTTTTAATTCTGTAGCATTGAACTGAAAACTTTAAGAACTATTTTATAAAAATAAATGTAAACAATGCTAACGTTGAATGAACCTATTCGACAAGAAACAGTGGTGTAAGTAAATATAATCTCAATAATTCTATAATTTTGGTAAGCTACGACTTTAAATTTTATCATATTTATAAGTTTTGGAAGAAGATTCAGATAAAGTTTATAAAACGTTTTATGTATGAATACTTGATTTATTGTTATCAAAAATGTAAACAAGTATTCAAAACGTTATCTATATAGGTAAAAAATGTGAATAATATTGTTGGACTTTTGTAGGTTATGTTGTATTTGTGGTATTGGTATAGAACCAAATCCAGCACATATGTGTGTAGCATGTTTAAGAACTCAAGTTGATATTACTAAAAATATTCCAAAGCAGGCAACAATTCATTTTTGCAAAGGTTGTGAAAGGTATTATAGAAAAACCTAAATTGCCAACACTTTTCCTTCTCAATTGTGAAATTTAAAAAATTGTATTTTTTAGGTACTTGCAACCACCTGCAGAATGGTTTCATGCAGCATTAGAATCCAGAGAATTATTAACATTATGCTTGAAAAAGTTAAAGGGTCTAAATCAAGTAAAATTAATAGATGCAGGGTTTGTATGGACAGAACCTCATTCTATGAGATTAAAGGTATTTCATATTTAATAGTTTTATTGTAAATAGATCATTCTGTTATTGTATTATGGTTTTAGGTAAAATTAACAGTACAAGCTGAAGTAATGTCTGGTGCAGTTCTACAGCAAGTATTTATAGTTGAATACACAATACATCATCAAATGTGTGATGATTGCCATCGAATAGAAGCAAAAGATTACTGGCGTGCTTTGGTCAGTCTTATATATTAATAATCTTTACAATAAGAGTAACTGATTATATTATTAATCTAATTTATGATATTAAGATTGTTTTTCTTATTTATAATTTGCTCTCAATAGGTACAAGTACGTCAAAGGGCAACAAATAAAAAAACATTTTATTATTTAGAGCAATTAATTTTGAAATACAAAGCACATGAACATACCTTGGGTATAAAACCAATTCATGGTAATGAATCTAAGTTATATAAGAACTTTAGGATATCAGTTACAGAAAATAAAATTTCTTGGTTTTTAATTAATAACTTTCATAGATTGTGAAATGAATGTTGGATTTTTACAGAAGGTCTTGATTTTTTTTTTCCAAATGAAGCAACAGCACGAAAAATGGTTGATTTTCTTATAAGTGTTGTACCTTGTCGTTATGATCATTCAAAGAAACTAATATCACATGATATTCATAGCAATATCTACAATTATAAATTTACATACAGGTACAAAGTATAATGTGTTTTAATAAACTGATAAAGAAATTGCATAAAATTTGAGTTACTCTCAACTGATATAATTCAATTTATTATTGTATTACAATTATTGTTGTATATTATATTATAATCTTTTTTATAGTGTGGAGATAGTTCCAATATCAAGGGATAGTGTGGTATGCCTTCCAAGGAAACTCAGTCATCAGTTGGGAGGAATAAATGCTATTTGCTTAGTGTATAAAATTACAAACAGTATACACTTAATAGATGTATCAAGTGGGCAAAGTATATATAATTTTTCAAAAATTTTGCATTGTTTATCTGATTTTTAAAACACAACTCACTTCTTATGTTAAATCTTAATTTGTAAATTAATATCAATTTAGTTGCTGAATTAAATGCTACACTTTACTGGAGACATACTTTTAATAGCATTTGTAACCCAAAACAATTAATAGAATATACAGTGATGGATATTGAACCCATCAAGCTGAAGGATAGAAAATTTTTTCCAGGACAAGGAACCATTTCAAATAAGGTAATGTAAAATAATTTGTGATATTGTGTATTATATATATTAAATAGATTAAAACTAAACTGTTGTAGTAAGTTTGTAAATACAAATTGTAAGCGTGGTAATTACAAAAGAAGGTTCCTTTATATACAGGGTGTCTCGTAACTGGTGGTACAAGTGAACAGGGGGTGATTCTACGTGAAAAACTGAATCGAAAATATAGAATAAAATTTTTTTATAAGAAGCTTTGTTTTCGAGAAAATTGAGTTTAAAAATTCGTCAAGTGCGCGTGCATTAAATTATCTTTCTGCTTTATATTCGTACTAATAAACGATACCAATGTCACGATAAGTATTGATAATCCATTTATTAACGATTTTCTAAATTTAAATTTACATTACTAAACGAATTGTTGAAAGTGACGTCCGTGTTAACGCACGCAAATCCTGGCTTTTTGAATCGAAGAGTCGTGGACTGATGATACGCTATTTTGACGCTTTAATTGTACGAGAGCCTGTACGGTTCTTTCTTTTAGCTGCACATTTACACTTTCTTCTACGCAGACTATTTCTTTGCGAAATGTGACATTACCACTGTTTATCAACGTAAAAGTATGAGCAGAAGTAACAGTTTGGAGTGAATCTTTAAATTCAATTTTCTCGAAAACAAAACCTCGTATGAAAAAATTTTATTTTACATTTTCGATTCAGTTTTTCACGTAGAATCACCCCCGCTTTCTTGTATCACCAGTTACGGGACACCCTGTATAACTGCAGACTAAATTTTTAATAACATAATTTATTAATCACAATGTGAAATATGCATTATAAATATGAATATTATTAAAAAAAAAAACAAGAATTACGAAAAAAATTCAAGAAAACCTTTCTTCATAAAATTTTCCTTAAACAGACTAATATAATACTATAAAGCAATTATTATGTGTAATATTTGACAAATATATATTTTTGGCTTGCAGCATGTAATAGCAGATGTATGGTTGGTTAAAAGTTGTGATTTAGGAATAAATGATAGCTTAATTCATACACGTACTCATCTTGGTCATATATTAAACCCTGGAGACACTGTTTTAGGGTAAAGAGAAAATAAAATACTGAAGTAATTACAAATAATATAATTTGAAATTTAAGAAATGATTCTTGTGTTTAGATATGCTCTTAGTGATAGTAACATTAACGATGAGAATTTTGAGATGTTGAATAAAGAGTTAGTACCGGACGTAATTTTAATAAAAAAGAATTATGTACATGACAGAACAGTGCGCCACAGAATGAGAGCTTGGAAATTAAATCATATGTTAAAAAATACAGACAGTATGGCTACAGATAATAAGTAAGTTAACATTCTTCTTTTTATCAAATATAATTATATTTCATAACATTAATTGATATTATTACATTTGAATATACAAGATGCCCCAGCTAAATTATCACAAACGATTATTTGCTCCAAAACTATTAAGAATAGTGGTAAAATTTTTTGACTTGTTATTGATCGTTGTGCGTTTTAATATTATAAGCAAAGTACTACTACTGAATTCTCGTGAAGAGGAGATAGGGAGGGACTGCATCGTATATAATCGTACATAAAATTAGAAGAAATTTTACCGTTACCTTTAATAGCCTTGGGAATAACAACTTGAAAACAAATTGGCTTGAATTTAAATAATATTAACATCGGATTGATTTACCAAAAACGTGTAACAATTTTAAATACTTATTAATTATATAATTTATATC